CCAAGTCAGTCTGGTTGTGTGAAGTGGGAGACAAATCTATTACTCCGTATAAGTTAGTCTTTATTGATAGTGGTAAAACTCAATGGATAAATGGATTATACACAATTCATGCAATACAGCCCCATTGTCAGCAAAGGATTCTAAGGCAGACAGAATAGTGGCATATTCCTGAACAAGACAGCAAAACAGTGTCATCACAACTATTTTTTAATGTTAGTAGTGAAAGTGTAAAACTATGAACCTTTTAAATACTCCCTCTATCCCACAAAGATTTTCTTTCTTTTTTCTTCTGTCCATCTACCGACTTTCTTCTTCCCTTGTGCATATTCATTCAAAATTTGATACTCCGTATATCGCAAGAGTCATGATGGCCAATGAAAAGTGAATGAAAGAAGTATGCTCCTCACAATATTTCTTTCTTCTAAACAAATTCTAACTACACACTTCTCATTTTTTAACACTTTTATTTGTCTCCATAAATTCAAAGTTGACATTTTTTTGTGAGACAGACGGAGTAAAATAATACCCTTCTTCTCAAAATAAAATAACAAATTTGTGGCTTTGAGGCACTGAGAGATAAGTCATCCACAAGAGCAAACTAACCTTTTTTTCTTGTTAGTAAGGGGGGCTTAATATTGGTTTTGCACGGATTAACACCTTTACTGACAACTTCAACTGAAAAATGTAACAGTGTTCTTAAGAAATCTTGTTTTGCTTCTCTAAACATCAAGATCTCAATGAACAACAGATATTGTTGGGTAGCTAATTCACATCATTTTGCACTAGCTCAACTCAAAATACAAAAACATCACATTTAGCAGCAGAAACTTGTACAGATTGCTCCCAAGATCACATTTATTGCACAGATAACAATGAAAAGGATAGTTTTAACCAAAGAGCTATAAAATCAATAATCTCCTAAAAGTAGGTTCTTGAAAATGAACTAAAAATGAGCGATCTCACAAACATAAACACTAAACATAATATAAATTCAGAACAAACTAAATGTCCTAAATTTCAAGCAATGGGGAAGTTCATACCGGGAAAACCAAGCCCACGATGGTAGTTCCGGTCTTGAGGAAAGACGGGGCGTGAGCCCCTTTCTTCACCAGCATCTCATTTCTTCTGCACAAATCAAAGCTAAATCCACCCTTTTCTGGAACATCCATTGTCGCCTTTGTCATTGCAATTCCGATTCAACCAAGCCCTAATTTATTGATTGGATCCAAAACACAAGAAGATCAATTTACAAAATCAAAGTACCACCGGACCGGGAACGGAAAGACGTCAAATTGCCGGAGACTCACCGGAGGAAAAATATTTCTGTGTAGAATGGGAGCTGATCTGAGATGAGCACAAGAGGAGATGTTCCGCGAGGGGAACTTGAGGAAGAAGAAAAGCTTAGGGAAGTTGTGTAATTTTGATAATTTCAAGGACCTAAAACAGAAACCCATTGTACCAAATAAGCCCAAAATTGTATTTGGGGAACTACAAAGGGCCTGTTTGTTTTTAATTCAAAATTGGCATTTTTTTTAGCCCATTTAAGTAATTCTTTTTAGGCATAATTGTTGTTTATACTCAATTCGTCTTAAAATTTTCTTCGTAATTATTTTTTAGATGGTCTAACTTAATCGCTTTTTTTACTTGTTTATGTCAGTCATTTGATAAAATAAGATAATTATATCATCTCTTATTTTGTTGAGCTTTTAATATAGATCTTTAAATATATACATTTTATCTTTTAAAATTTTGTACTTATAATCATATAAATTGATTTGAAAATAATATAAGTCAAACCTAATATTTTAGTACAAAAAGTAATTATCTTTAATGCTTTAATCAAGATAAATTTATGATCATACCAATCTTTGACATTAAAGTTTGATATTATGTACTTCACAAACATATACATACAATGATTTTATATTGGATTTGACGATGATTGCATTTGTTTGTTTATAATACACATAATATCAAATCTTAATGTCAAAGTTGATGTAACTATTGATCTCTTCGATTATCTCCCTCTCCATTCCAAGTGACGGGAAAATTATAGCCGGAGAAAACACGAATAGGTCTAAGGCAACTCCAAAACCAGATATATATTTATTGGATGGGTCAACTTAATAATAATAGGCTTCGTAAAAATCTTAACAAAAAAAATTATAAGTTATCCACATTATTTGTTCACAAATCACAACATGATCGAATATGTAGTTATAATTTAGAAAATCATTTTCCCTCTTGTCGTTCCATGATAACATTACCATATTCCATATCCCCTGCAATGTCCCAAGGCGCATGTACTTCATTCACGGGTTTGGCCAGTCAAGTATTAAAATGGTATTCTTTTTGTTTGTTAGAAAGGCAAGTTTCATTTTCTTTTCATGAAAAATATTGTATAATTCATTTAGTTTCTCCTTTTCACAAGGCGTACGTATGTGGTTCGTTGCAAGTGGGTAATAAACGTAACATCTCTTACGCTTATTTCTCCAATTCAATTTGTTCAAGTATTAGGCCTCTTAGGCAAACACCCACATAAGACCCAAACATATCATACAAAGATTGTTTGTCGTGACCTATGTAGAAAACACTATCACCAATCTCAAGAAAAGCGTTAAAAACACAAAGAAACTACTATCAAAAGTCTCGATGAATTCATGCAAAAGCATGAACCGACAACAATCAAAGCAATGAAATTACATCTTTTTGCTAATAACATCATCATTTTAGCAAACAACCCATTTAAATGTGGGATTGGCACAATAGCTTTATTAATAATCTTTAGTTTTTGCCATTTGAAAAGTTAATCTATTCCCTCAAACAATCATCCAAAACACTACAAGACACTGATATATTAGATGTTGCATGGGATTTTCGACAAGATTTACAAGTACATAGCTGCAAAACATTGAACTCTTCATCCCATTTATACTGCAATTCTAACTATTTTGTGACCCAAGACTTGGTTAACAGCATATAACTAACGACGTACAACATTAGCTATAACAACAGACCTAGTAAAATCCTACAAAAAACATCTAAATAGGGTACCGATACACGAAACTTGCCCGAGCATACTAATAGAGACACCAAAACAGAAGGTTGAAGCCTTATTCTCTAGAATTTGATACACCAAATAATGTGAAACAGAACATGAGGAAAACGCAAGGCTGAGGCGAACCAGAAATTCACCTTAACTGCAAATCCTCAGAGGCAGAAAAAACAAACCAAAAGAACTCAATATATTTCAATCAGAAAAAGAAAATACCGGGAAAACGACTGTTTTAAGCTCTGCCAAACTGAGTCGTCTGGTTCAGAACACCTATATTTCAGAAGCAACTCAACCCCATGAATCAACGATTCCAAACACAGATGGTGATTATCATTTTGGGGAGGGGAGGACAGGGCAAACATAACATTTAAATCATAGTAATAAAAAACCTTTGCATGTTACAGAGGTGAATTTGAAAGGGAAAAGAGAAAAAATCTACAGACATCAACAACCCTCAACAAGCACAGATGGTGTTACATACTTACATGGATCGAAATTTTACAGGTGGGATATAATCTAACTACAAAAAAACCCGTATTTACAGATTACCAAAAAGATATGACCTGATTACAACACAAAGGGAACTCCTAGAATGGGATTTTTTGTTACATACAAATCACAGAATATAAGCTCGTGGTTGCAGGAACAACCCTGCAAAAACGGATGCAATATGCAAAGGTTCCCAATAAAGCCATTCATCAGATAGCTAAACCAAGGGCACACTTTCTCTTGTATCCTAGAGCTCATAGATTCATACATTTTCCATGGGAACGACGAGTAACCCTCCACTAGAATGGGTATTTGCTTAATTTTACAGAGGAAAAATAAATTTTACAACAGTTCAGCCTGACTACTCTAGAGACTAAAGCTGAACCAATTAACTGAAATAAGGGGCTCAGACTCAGTACAACACTCTTACAGGCTGGTACAAAGGCAACAACAAGTATTGGACTGGAACACTTACATGTACAGAAAAGAGTACAAAGAGTCTACACAGAGCTTAAAGTGGGATTTATGGAAGCAGAAATCCCTATTTCAAGATAATACTTCTCCAGAAACAGGCAATATCATGATTTGTTATCTTCTATGCAAATTATCATGAAGAGAAACCGCATGTAGATTTCACAAGGAAAACAAAATATGGCCAAAAACTAGGATTGTCAAAGAACTCAGCCAAGTTTACTCATCCTCCTCCATGTAACCAACTTATGCAGGTTTAGACATGAAAACAAAGAGTTGCCTCTCTGCTCCCTGAATACGATAATTGAAAATTCTCATGTCAAAATTCATCAAGTGAGATCAAATATTGACATATTTATTTGCACACGCAACATTTCCACCCCAAACAAAGTGAAGGTGAAAAACATCTAGACTTCGTTAAAGCACACATAGTTTAACACATACTAAGTGAAGAAGTTCAGCATTTAAAACAACCATGAAACGGCTAGGCTTATCTTTCTTTCAAGTATATTTGGAAAACATGAAAAGTTTACAGCTTCGCATGCACAGAGAACAAAAAACAAACTGCATCGATTAAATGCTTTGGCATATCATTTATGTTCCAAGATGTTTAAGCACAATGAATATAATGACACAAAATAATAAAAATTTGAGCATTTCAATAATGCTGGTAGAACATTCATTCTTATGGAACCAAAGACCTCTCACCAATAAATGATAAAAGATAGAGCACTACAATTTCATCGAATATCATCCACACAGAGGCATGAGTTAACAAGTTTGTAAAACCATATTTTAGTGTGACCTATTAGACCTAAACCAAGAAGAAACTGTCAGGAACCATAATCTTATACGATCCATATAAAAATGTTTAAAAAATTGTGACCACTTATCAAAACAGGAAGAATTTCAACACTTGAAGTTATCATGATTCATACTCCACAACATTCACACGGGCATGTATCACAATGACTGATACTGTAAGTAATCACACCATCCATAGCTTTACCCTCATAAAGAAGTTGGAAAAAAAAACAATCTTTTCCCCATGAAGGAAAGGTGAATGCAAAATAAAATTTTAGCAAATCAAAATACATTACAACATATAACAGGGTTCAATCTTCCAAATGTTTCATGTTTCAAAGGCAGCAAAGCAAACCCAGCTCAAGAGAGCTAAACCAGAAAAGCCTTAATGAAGATGAAGACGGGCAGCAGGCAACAATAACTCTCGCCTCCCAACACAATATAAAATATCACAGATGTCTGGATAGCCTCAGGACCATAGCACAAATATATTGTTTAAAACCAATTGAAGTTCATAAAATAGAATAAAAGTTAAGCTAAATTCTTACTTCATGGAGCTTAGGAAGAGCGGCAACCCCTTCAAGTAGTCTGCAGAAGGATGTTATGAGGATAATATTGTGGACTAGGTGATAGGAGTCCAACTACGACCTGTAAAAAATAACAGAGTATTGTAGCAATACTATGTTACTCAGATGGAAGCCTTTTACGCTTTCCATAATCAGCATCCCTTGAACGAGATCTATGATCGTCCTCCTGCACTGCTCGGGATCTGCTTCGAGATTTTGAAGAGTGTCCTCTTTCATTGTCATAATCTAAATCCCGTTCTTTGTGACGATAGTCCCTGTAACCATCTCTTTCTTCCCTGTACCTGTGATCCCTATCATACCTGTCCCTGTCATTATCTCTCTCATCCCGATTCCTCTTCTCAGAATTGCCCGACCAATCACGCTCGGAGGCACGTTCTGAAATTCGCTCTGAAGCTCGCTCCTTCTCCCTAGAAACTACAGTTGACCTAGCCCCCTTTTCATGGCTGGCATCTCCGTAGCCATATTCAGATGCATTATCATCACCACCGTAACTTGACTCTCTGGTCCTTCTTTCATGCTCTTCCCTTTCCCACCCACCACCTGTGCTTGTATCAGTCCACATTCCTTGATGAGGACCATCCATCCCCGTTGTACCACCCATCATTCCCATCCCACGGCCAAAAAAGGCAGGGTTGACATGAGGAGCCACCCCAGCCAGCCCCATTGGGTTAACAGCGGGAAAGGGAGGAATAATACCTGGAAAACCAGGCCCAGAAAAGCCACCATAACCAGCTCCTCGACCCATGTACCCAGGATCAAATCCAGGACCCATCATGCCTTGTGGATGCATGAGACCTGGAGGACCACCAAAACCAGGACCAGCAAGACCCTGTCCGTAAGCTCCAACCCCCATACCAACATTAGGTCCAGGTACATTACCTATCATATTCTTTGCAGCCATAACACCTCTTCCTCTTCCAGGCCCACCCACAGGACCTCTGTTTGCCATTCCCTGCCCACCACGTCCCCATCCTCCCCTACCAAAATTCCTTCCTGCATCTCCTCCACCGGGGAAATTTGTTCCACTGCCTCTGTTCAGTCCTTCATTCATGGGCCTCCTTCCTTGTACTGGTTGAGTTTGAACTTGAGTTGGGGTTTTGTTGATATAAGAAGAACCCATCTGTTTTATTGTCTGAGGAGTAGCATATGCAACCACACAAGGTCGGCCATTGAAAATGTGGCCATTCATTCCTTCTTTACAGGCAGAAGCAGCTGCAGGATCATAAAATTCCACTTGACAGTAACCCTTTGATTTCCCACTAGCTCTGTCATCAAAGAATTTGATCTCCTTCACTTTCCCATATTGAACTAGTACACTCTCAATATCAGCATCCGTAGTCCACCAGTGCAACTCCCCCACAAAGAGCATTGTATATCCATTCTCTATGGCTGGCCTCATCTGATTTTCACTGATCATAGGGTGGTTCATGTCAGGATTGGCATTAGAGCTCATTTGATGAGTCGGCATCACTGGAGCTCTTGAACCCCCAACTGAACCAGAATTCAGCAGTGGCAAAGACTCATTGGCAACTTTGCCAGATATTTCATGAACAGGATCAGAAACAGCTCTGTGAGACATAGCAACTGATGGTTGAAATCCCATGTTACTCACAGTAGCATCATGAGTCATTGATGGAGGCCTTGCTTTTTCAGCAGCAGAAGCAGCAGCTTGATCAGGACCTCTTTCAGCATTATACCCACTCTTTTGCTCAGGAAATCGCAGACCAGTACTGACTAAACCAGGTTTCATCTCTGGAGGAGTTATGGTTTCCACTTTTGGTTCAGGTGTACTGTTTCCCGGAGCTTGAGATACACCATTTACAACAGAATCAGGAGGTTTGTGTGCCTCGTACTGCTGCATCTGAAGAAAACCCTCTCCAACATTAACATCATTATAAAGATCATCATACTCGTCATCCTCGCCCATCATTTCATCATCTGCAAGTGCAGGGATAGTTCCGCCTCCATGAAATTGCATCTTTTGGCTTCCTCCACATTCCTCGTCACCAAAATCTAAATGGTCATCAGGCGTAGGATCCATTTATGTTAACTAGCTGACGATTATCTATCTCCGCCTATTTTAAATCATTTAAAATTGATAATTAAATTCAAATCATCCAGTGACATAAATACACCAATCAACTGTCAGGGAAGATTACAGAAAATTCACAAGGGTGTGAGCACCGAGGTACTTCTAACTCTAAGTTACAAAAGATGAGAGGGTCGAATCGCATAGCTTTAGAAAATAACCCAATTACATAGAGTTCATCAAATCTAACACAAGGAGAACATCAAGATCTTACAAGTTACAACCAACGAGATCAACAAATTCTTGCAGATCAGAGAAACATAAAAGCTAGATCGCACAAACGGTAACAAGATGCGCTATAAAAATCTATACCCCCCACAACAGAAAAACATAACACAGAATACGAGCAACTAAAATCACGACGCCGTTCTTCCAATACACATATCCCGCATTCAAATCCCCAAAAAATTGCATTTTTATTCCAGAGCTAAAGCATCAAGATGATTGAGAGCCATTGTTACCAGACCTACGATGGAAAATTTAGTGAATAAACAAAAAAAATGAGGAAAATCCGAAGAGAAATTGACTTGACTTAATTGTAGGTTTATCCTCAAGATGAGAAGAAACAGAGAACGATCGAACGGCAGAAAGATTGCAGAAAAATCTTACGCTTCTCCGCTTCACCTCCCAGCAGCCAAAACTCAGCTCCTTCCTCCTCGTCTCTCTCTCTCTCTCTCTCTTTCTCGCCGCCCTTTCTACCGCTAAGAAGAAACGCCGGTCAACTAGACTATATTTTGTATTTCGATTTTCTTTGGGGACTAAAGAGAAAATTATAGATTTATAGGGTCATTGCCCAAAAAGTAGATGTCCCTATTTTTATTATTTGAGAGTGTTTGACATTGCGCTCCTTTTAGGAATTTAGCTTCTACATTGAGCGGAAATGGTTTTATTTTGTTTGGTTTGTTAGCTTTTGTTTTTCTCTACCACTATTTTGTACACAGAACATCATTCCGAGCAAGCAGTTATGAGGTCTTTTTGCTTTCAATTTTTGTCAAAATCACTTTATTTATTCATAAGTTAATCATTCCCAAACATTCTCTAAGTTGGTCAAAACTGCTTATAAACAGTTTTTAACTTATAAACCAGTTGATGACATGTTTCTGTGTGTTTATAAGCTGTTTATAAGCCATAAAAACAAGTAGGTCTTAACTACTTATTTTTAACCCAGTTTTTTCGCTCCCTCATTTTAACCAGATTATTTATTAAACTATCTCTCACTATTTATGAATATTTTCAAGTGACTTATCTATCATTTAAGTAATTTTACTTCTATTAAAGGATATTTGGCTTATAAGCAGCTTATAATATCATCCATGTCAATCTCGACGGAGGATCTTTTCTTTGACGATCCGAACTCAAAGTTGTTGCCATTTTGGGGAATGACTTAAAAGTTTCCATTAATCAATAAGGATTTTGCCTTAGTGTCCATCGGCTTGATACCAAGCAATCGCTTGCTTTGAAATATCGGCATCGTTCGTTCCGCTTTTCCTAGATCTGGTGCATCCCTCGTACACGCCGATAAATTTTCATATTTTTCTGTTTATGTAGCTTCATTTGGAAGTGAGTTTATCCTTGCTCCAGTAGGACGGGTCCTTGCTCATTGCAGCAAAGAACTTCTCCTCAATACGATCATACATAACATCTCTTGTTTGATAAGTACCTTTAAGAAAAAAATCACGACTATTTTGACCTTGGAAATCAAGTTCTTATTTTGACCTTAGGCCTCTATGGTGCTCCGTTGGTTAAATTGATGGTTCATACCCCTACCCTCTAAATCCCCCTGCACCCCACCACAGCCACCCAAGGCCTCTAGTTTAAAGATTTTTTTTTAATTTTATTTAGTTGCAATAGCTACAATGCCTTTTGAAAAGTAGGCGGGGTCTCTCAATCAACACAAAAATCACCCATTAAATGTTTTACGGTCACCTACTTTACGCCACTTTAACAAGCTTAAAGAGACAGTATATATTTAACGCCTTAACTGTGTTAAAACGGAAACAACGAAGCCGGCATTAGAAGGATTTTCATTGCCCGGATGAGGGATACTTCCATATTTAAAAGCACTCACAATGATAAGTAAATACAAATGGGGAATTACCTAAATAGGATTAAAACTAATGACTTTCTTAGTATAGGAGTATATGTTTTTATTTCTCAAAGTAGAACCATTGGTCATTATCCATTAGTCATTATTCAAGTAAATGTCCACCGTCACTGGACATTATTCCTTCCACCAGACATTATTAACTTCTATTTAGGAAATAAAAAAGTTTAAGTCTTACATTATATTGAGAAATGACTTATGTTTTAATTCTATTTAGTGCAAATTTTTCAATACAAATTTCTTCTCTACACTTCTTTCTCCTCGAGTATTGAGAAAATATTTGTTGGGGAAATGTTTTTTCTCTCAACTCTTATATTCAACCCTCTATCTACATTTTTGTGTGAAAAATCACCTCACCAAAAAGAAAGATATTCCCCGACTAAAGCTATATGTAGTACTTCACCATCGCTTACTCCATATCAGCAGCCACTCAGTGTCCCATCAGTGCTGACATCACTCGTCATCTCACCCACTTCACACTTGTAGTAGCTCACATCTAGTGCAAGGATTGCACTTTTCCTTTTTAAAAAAAATATTTACTCATTTCTATTCAAGTTGAACTAGTATTTAACCCATGCGATGCACGGAGTGGAACAATCTTTTTTTTTAAATTTGAAAATTTATTTCCTACAACATTTTTCAAATATCAAATGAAATAAAATATCGACCTTAAAAGTAAAAATAATGACAAAAATAACTTCCTCCGTCCGGAAATGTTCTTCTCACTTTTCTTTTTGGTCTGTCGGGAAATATTCTTGTCATTTCCTTTTTTTAGTCTATCTTTTAAAGGTAAGTGTCAATAATACCCTTTCGTTTTACCACTCATCAACTTTTTATTGGTTTTTAAATAAGAAAGGGAGCTCTAAAATTTTATAGTGACATCTTTGGAAGTTTGACATTTTTTTCATACTCTAAAAAAACAAGTTAAGTCAACATGTGAAGAACAATTCTGAACGGTGGGAGTATAACATTTGCTAATGATAATTCTACTATATAGATTTGAAAATTAACATGTCAAAATCTTATTTAAATTAGAGCATTTAAAAAAACAGAGATATACAAAGTTTTTCTTGTGATGTTATAAAGATTAAAGGCATCTAAAATTAAACTTTCAACCATGTTTTTACTCTCACTATAAAATTAATTGTAAGTAAATCAAAATTTTATTAATAAATTCTAAAAATTCTCATTTTCTTTTAATTTGTTTACTTTATTTTTTCTGTTCTACATAAATAATTCTCTTTCCTTTTTACTCTATTGAATAATTTCTTAAATATATTTATGTTGATAATTTGACATGATTATACCATTTCATTTTAAAAAATATTTTTATATCTAAAAATTAGTTTGTAAATTTCATGATTCATCAAACTCGAGCCATGTGTTAAAAATATGTTCACGTATATATAATCGTGATGAAATAATATTGTATAAAAATTAATAAATTATAGGACAATAGTTTTATCTCTAAGTTTGGATTCATGAGCTCAATTAAAATGGAATATTCAGTGTTGCAAATGGCTATCTAAGCATACCACATGTCATCTTATTAGAGACTCGAGTCTCATTTTTATATATAAAGAAAAGTATATTTTTAGAGTATATTTAATAATAATTCAAAAAATAACATAATTTTCTTTTAATGTAACACAATTCATTATATTATTGATATGACTATATTATTTTACTAAAATTATTTATACACCAAAACTCGTGTGTACTTTTTAAAATTAACTGAAATTCATGTAAAAAAAATTGTAAATACCAAATTTGAAATAATAATATTTTTGAAAAGGTAATTATAATTTTCAAATTTTGGAAAAATGAATGAATGGAAAGAGAGAACATAATCAAACATGGAAGAATTAAAAAAGGGAAATAGATATTAAAAATATTTTATATTCCTTATGGGGCGAAGAGCAATGGTGGGATGGAATTATTTCTTTAAGAAATATTCTTTTCAATTTTATATAAGTGCCATGTAAGCAATGTCATGTGTCAAGTTCTTGAAGTCTCCACATGTCACGTTGTAAGATTTGGAAGGAAGGGAAAACAGAGTCCAAGGTATATTGGACCTTACTGAATAACTTATGGGGCCAATAGTCTATCGATGGGAACATCCGCTAGAACTAAAAAAAATCCACGATGTGCTCTAAGTTTCTATGTTGAAATGTTATCGCTCTATGTACTACCCGATGGAAGTGTGACCCTTGATGAACGTCTCACATATGAAGAAGAACATGTCCAAATTCTAGCATGTGAAGTGAAAGAACTGGGGAGCAAGGTTGTCCCATTGGTCAAAATACTTTAGGCAAACCATTCTACGTAGCATGTAGTATGTTTTACTTGTTACACGCATATAAACAAAATAAAGAATAATGTGACGTTGATCCTGGCGGAAAATGGGGATGAGATGTCGGGATGGATTGTGATGGTTTTCCAACTATTTAAGTAAATATTCAAAATGAATTGTTTATAATTATGTTTGTGATATGAAACAATTAATTAAGCTTCCGCGAATTTGATAAATTCTATTACTGTTATGAATACTTTATGATGAAATATAGTTTGAAATGTTTTAAATTTTTATGTAAACAAGTTAATACATTAGTCTAAAAGGGGATGCAGACCTAGACAAATTAAGATGTTACCCTTGGAGGGTCAGGTTGATGGGGACAACGTGAGGCAATGAAAGGTGCGATCCCGACCGCTATCCTACCACGCCATCTCCGTGACTTAATTGTGGAGCGAGAATCCCGCTCCACCATTGGACGACTTGATTGATGGCGAGATTAGCACCCATTAATGAACAACGGGTTAGAGGCTATTTCCTTATACGGGTGTTGATTGGCGCTAGCTAGGCCCGCGTCTGAGTAGGGGCTTGTTACCTAAATTAACCTCCCCCACCCTATATAAATACACCGTAAGAGGAGGAGGAGGGACATTCCATCATTCTCACACAAGCTTGTACACTCTTGAGACAGTAAGAAATATGAGTTTAGACACAAGAATTCTTTCCTGTTCTAGGTCACTCTTGTGCTCTTACTTTCTTGCGTTTTTTCGTTACTTGGTAAAGCCCATTTGACGAGGTCATACCCGGTCAAATTTACATCATCCGTTCTTTATGGAAATCATTTTCTGTAAAAAAAGTTCTACAAAATTATTCCCCCCATCTAAATAATATTACGTCTGACTCTTTGTGTTTCTTTTTAAATAAATCACCCTACACAAGAGTAAAACATAGAGAAAGTACCAAGATATATAGGAGTTCCATGTTTTTTATTATCTAAATAGGAGTTCGCATTGTGGTAATGTGGCACTGTACACATACTTGTACATTTTACTATGCTTTTTTGTAATATAATGTACATGGTCATGATTAGTAATGTAAATGCGTTTTAACTCTTATTTTAGGAATAAAAACATAAGACTTCTATTTTGGTATATATTAAATATTTTACTCGTACTATAATCTTTTTCCCCTTTCCTAACTTTCAACTTTTTTTAGTTTGATAAAAAAGAATTGTCATGAAAATAATTATAACATTTATAATGTTAATAATAGAAATATTAATATTAATAGTAATAATAACTAAAATAATAATAATAATAAATATAGTAGTAATATTAGAAGTAATAA